AATAAGGTTATAGAGGGCAAGAATGAGTCTTTAAGGTTATAGGGTTACCATATGTCCAGGAGTACTTGTGGCACCTTAGAGACTAACAAATTTATTAGAGCATAAGCTTTCGTGGGCTACAACCCACTTCTACGAAAGCTTATGCTCTAATAAATTTGTTAGTCTCTAAGGTGCCACAAGTACTCCTGTTCTTTTTGCGGATACAGACTAACACAGCTGCTACTCTGAAACCTGTCATATGTCCAGGTTTTCCTTGACACTCCCTCTTTTCCCTTTCTCTGTCTGGGAGGATTTCTCAAATAACATGCAATGTCTAGGTTTTTGCAGAGCAGGCAAGCTGCAGCTCAGAAAATGCTCCGATTGGTTTGCTTCCCAATTGATCTCTTCCCTGCATCCACAGCTGATTGGTTCATTCCTCTGCAAGCCACAACTGCCAGATCCCTCCCACACAGGCCCCAGTTTCCAGCCCTGGGGCAGGAGTCCCGCAGGGAAGTGTTGACTGACAGCTGTCGCTGCATCCTGGGCTTGCGCCAGCCATCCTGCCACCTCGACAGGAAGCAACACTGCCCCCACCTCCAGCGAGTACCCCCTCCACAGGTACCCCATCCAGCTCCCCCTCCCCTCTTTCTCCCCCCAAATACCCCCACAGCTCCTTTCCCCACAGCTCTTCCCCCTCCGGCAGTGTCCTCTTTTTGGGAACCTGAAATGTTAACCCTCGCTGTATATATTAAGGGCAATATGTAGTTGCGCTGCCCTGGGAGGAGGTATAGTTCTTCCTCCAGGACAGGGGGAAGGAGTATTTTGCTACATCCCATTTCAGAGCACAGCACACTCCCTCACCCCCACCCAGACAGCTCCATTGGCTGGTGCACTGGGGAAGGAGATGAACCCACTCAGTTGCTCACAATGCAGTGTTTTCCCCAGGAATTGAAATGGGTGGGGGGATTTGAATTTACAGGGGGGGGTCAGGGCTGATGAGGGGTGAGACCGTGAGGGTGAAGGTGGGTTGTATGACACCGTAGTAAAAACTGAAAAATGTTTCATGACCATTTTATTAGATTTAACTCATGTTTTAAAATCATCACACAAATTAAAGTTGGCTACTCAAGCTGTCTGTGAAGCACTACATCTACATCCTTCTTGGTTTCTTGTTATAATTTTGCATAACTCTGTTAATGAACTTCTTGAATGCAATACGTTCATCTTTGGTGGCTTCTCGTGTGTCCGGAACTTCCATTCCTTCAATTGATATGCTCATTAGTTCATTCACATGATCAGGCAGAAGGCGACTTCTTTCAGAACACAAAATTCTATTCAATGATGAAAAAGAATGCTCAACTGTAGCTGTTGTGACTGGGAGTAGCAAGAGATGAATTCCTACTTCTTTCATCCCAGGAAACATAGCATAAAGATCCGGTTGAGCCACTAGTGATGATAAAATAGAAGTTGAAGTCAAATCTTCATTCATTCGTTGTATGATATTCCACTCTGTGTTCAAATTCTCTATTCTGTCCTGAGCACAGGGCAGCCCCATTGCTGGTAGTGCTGCACTCCATGCAACTGTCAGAGGTTGAGTAGAATCTAGAAGTCGTTGTTGTAGATTTTTAAGAATCAAGTCTGTGTACTTTTTCAGTTGTCTTAACAAACACTTCTTGTCCTCTTCACTTAAGGATTCAATATAAATGCCTTCATTAGTCAACTTCTGGACTGAAGTCTTTGCTTCTTCCAGTACTTTTTCAATGGATAGCTCTTTGATTGATCCAAAAGTAGCTTCTATCGCTGGCCAAAGATCTACTACTGTTGTAGCAGATGCCCGGATGGCATTGTTTAATGACCCAAGTGGTTTCAACAGTAGACTTACAAGAGAGAGAATGGCAATAGTCTTCTCTGAACGTAGTAGCAAAAGTAATTCACCGGTCTCACTACTTAGAGCCATCCCATCTTGGTAGATACTTTCCAAAGCCAGTAATAACAGCTGGAGTAATTTTAAGACAACAGCCAAGGATCGATCATAAGAAAGCCAGAGGGTTTTCCCAGGTTGGACTAATTTGAACTTCAGTCCCAGTGTATCTTCTATATTTTCCAAGATATTCAGTCTTTTTGGACTCTTGCTGAAAAAAGAATATAATGAAGACATTAAATTTATAGATTTTTAATGTCTTTTGAAGAGTCTGCAGCTCGTACTAGTGCTAGTTGGAGTAGATGGCCTCTGCAGTGTGTATAGGAGAGATTACGGTTACACTTTTCTCTGAGCAAAGCTTGTACTCCACCATGTCTTCCAGAGAAGTTTGCAGCTCCATCCAATGCACAAGCAGCCATCTGTTTGGGGTCCAATTGACAAGCATTTAACTCTTCTAAGATGTGGGTTGTCACAGATGCAGCCGACGTGTCTTCTATAACTTGAACATCTAGAAATGCATCTACTGGCCTATCCCTGACATCAAGATAATGTACACAATGACTTAATACTTGATGCCCATTTGTATCAGTGCATTCATCAGCCATGTATGCAAATTTTTTGAATGTAATGAGAGAGTTCACTTTTTCAACTGTTGAGTCTTTCACTGTTGCACCACATGCTTCTAGCCAGTCAGTTGAGTTTCTTGCAGAAAGATAGTGAGCATTTGCTGGTCTTGTTTGGAACCAGTGTTCAACTTCAGGATGAACAAGTGACAATGCACTTAACATTGGCCTCCAGTTTGTAGTGTGTGGTATCTCTTGTTTAAATAGAAAGTATGATGCCACAGCCATGCTTGTTCATATGAACTATGTGTCTCCAGCATTCTTAACAGCCTCATTAACACTCACTGGTGTTGTCTTTGGTCAGTGGAGGCTCAGAGTTCAGAGGTGCTTTCACATGAGTTCACCTCCCAGGTGGGGGGCAAGAAGGCACCTTGCTCGTTCCTCCAGCTGCTCACTGTTCGCTCTGGCCACTGTTGTTCATTGTGCCACTGTTCACTCCATTGCTCTGTTGTCAATGGCCCTGCGCCATCACCTTCTGCTGAACCTGCCACTGTGACCTCTGCGAGTTGGTCTCTTGAGGTTCCACCCAGCTCTCAGTGATTTCAGCTGAGCTCTCAGTGGGAAAACCTCTCTGCTAGTGCAGACTGGGCTGTCTCTTCCACAGAAACAATGTCCCACAGCAGGACTAAGCACTTAGACCTGATTATCAGTGATTTCAGCTGTAGTGGTCACTTAACAAAACAAGAGACTAACATGGAGCCTAATCAGCTCTGTCTTTAAACAGTGGAAAGGGGCAAGTCAAATAGTACTTTTGACTCAGGCAGACCATCAAGCAAAACACCTGTCCCCACCCTCTCTCGATGCCTTCAATCAGCACAGGCTAAGGACAGTTCTACTGCCCTTTACTCATACAATAAGAATAACAACATTTCATCCTCCCCCCATCCCGCATTCAAGTGATTTGTAACCCAACCCCAGCCAAAATCTATCACTTGGGCAACACAGATCTGTTTGCTGGATACCTGGGTAGATTAGGTGTGAATGTAAATACAATCTGGTCCTGAAACCTTTCCCCCCAGCCGCCACCTCATCACTAGATGTCAGGGAGAGCTCATTTAGACTTTGCTTACAGATCATAATTTGAAATTATTAGGTTGGCCAACATCACCAAAATGAATGCACTGACATTGTCATAAAAAACAACAGCTGTATAAGGAAGTTAGTCTATGTTCATACTTTTCAAATATATTATACTTTTTCAGATACATGTATTTTATCATACACTGTATATGCTTTTAAAGTGTGTATTAATGTTTCAATTTCAATTCAAATGTCCAAACAATCATTAAATTGGCAACACTGCATGTAACTAGTTCACAAAACTTGTGGGGGGGGGGTTAGGCCAAT